CCCCCCCCAGCCTCTGCCGTCAGGGGGCACTGTGGGGGTGCAGAGCAGGAATCCTGGCTTTGGGAGCAGCGCCTCTCCTCTTCCCTCAAGGTTGGGGTTGGGAGTCTGGCCGGGTGTAAAGGCCCTTGGCTATAGCAGCGAGCCGGGGGGGAGGCTGCCCCAACCCCTCTCACAGCTGGTCTCTCTCTAGTCGGATTCCCTGGTTGTATGCGATGTGGACCCCATGCTGACGGAGATGCTGAGGAAATTCCGCTTCCGGAAGGAAACCAATAATGCGGCCATCCTCAGTGAGTGTCCCCCGATTGTGTCCTTGTGGGAATGATCCCCAGCCCTTCTCTGTCTGCTTGTCCCACCTTGCTGGATCTGCACCCCAGACAGCACAGAGCATTGTGAGAAGCAGGGCAGAGGCACTAGTTGTGGGGGGACTTTCAGCAACTCCAAGCATGGCCTATCCCAGCTCGGGGCACTGTGGAGTATGTGCACTGACTGTGGGAGGGAATTCTCAGCTACCCCAGTCCCAGCAGGTAGATATGGGGAACAGGGCAGGAGCTGGTTGGGAGGGAGTTCCCAGCTACTCCAATCTCAGCCTGTCCCAGCAGGGAGCGCTATGGGGTAGGTGTGCTGTCTGTGGAGGAAATTGCTGGCTACTCCAGTCCCAGAAAGGGGTACTTGCGGGGTACTGGGTCAGCACACTGGCTGGGGGTTGTTCAGCGTTCCCAGGGGAAGGAAGCACAGCTTAGGCACCTGCTGGCCCATTTGAAGATGGTGACCGGAGCTCTCTCTCTCCCCGCAGTGAAGATTGACAAAGAGCGGCAGCTGGTGGTGCTGGAGGAGGAACTCCAGGTAGGGGACCTTTCTGTCTTTTCAGCCAGCCACCTTCGAAAAGCCCAGCCCAGTTCTGTTAAAGGCCCCACTGTCAGCAGGCCTGCGCCTAGCTCCTCCCATGAGCCACTGTTCTGCAGGGCCCCCTTGGTGCCAATGGGTCTACAACTAAGGTTCTCCTGCTTCTGAAGCCCCCTGCCACTGGGCTAGAGAAGTGACCCGTGAGCACTGTGGGAGGTAGGAGGTGCGGGGGTGGCAGCCTGATTGTCTGCACTTGAAAGCAGTGTTCTCAGGCTCTGGCACACACACAGAGCAGGTGTCAATTGCTCCAGCAGAGGGCAGCACACACACAGAGTAGGACTCATTCCCTCCAGCAGGGGCAGCACGCAGAGCAGGGCTCATCCTCTCCAGCAGGAGGAAGCGCGTGTGCGCGCGCGCGCGCACACACACACACACACACTCTCTCTCCTTCCCTCCCTCCAGGACTATGTAGCACACACAGATTCTCATCCCTCCAACAGGAATACACAAGGAAGCAGGAGCCAATTGCTTCAGCAGGGGACAACAGGCACACAGATCAAGGCTCATTCCCTCCAGAAGAGAGACAGATGCAGACACACATGCACACAAGACCTAGACTCCCAGTTGCTCCAGCAGTGTGTAGAACACATGGGCGCGCGCGCACACACACACAGACACAGAGCAGATGCCCAGTGTTCCAGCAGGGAGCAGCATGCACATGCAAATGCACACACTTGCACATCCATACAGAACAAGTGTTCAATGCTCCAGCAGGAGGCAGCAGGCACATGCACGCTTGTGCACATACACACTCTCTCCCTCTCTCTCTCTCTGCCACTCAGCATGTAGGGATTGAGTTCCTGGCCTTTCATGGGGGAGGCATGCAGACCTGACACAAGCTCCGCTTTCTCAAACAGTTGTTTGCCTTCTGAATTCCACGGCCTGCCTGAAAGTTACAGCAGCGCATTGAGAACCAACGTGGGCAGGAGGAAAATAAATTGAATTTACCATCAAATGAAGTAGCCCCAGGGAGGTGCTCCTGCTTGCATCAGTTGTTTTCATACTTAATGCAATCCAAGCCTGCGGTTCTTACAGTCACAATGAAGTTGCCACACAGTTTCCGGTTCGTTGCACTGGAATAAGGGTTCACTGCAGTGCTGAGGCTAGACCTACCATGCGGTACGTCTACACATACCAGAAGTATCCCAAAATAGCCACCCCACATCTTTTAAAAGTGCCCGTTATTTCAAAATATTTTTCAAAATAACGGGCGTGCTATTTTGGCGTCCCTATAACCCTCATTCCACAAGGGTTATGGGATGTGTCAAAATAGCGCACTACAGGCAGTCCCCGGGTGACGTACAAAATAGGGACTGTAGGTTTGTTCTTAAGTTGAATCTGTATGTAAGTCGGAACTGGCTCCAGATTCAGCCGCTGCTGAAACTGACCAGCGGCTGACT